ACACACACACACTACTCGCTAACTACAGCTATGGCAGCTATGGCTGCCTCTACCCTATCGCTATACTAAGCTCCTTCTCTCTCACCCACTGCGTCCTCTGGGCTCACTGCAGACCTCCTTGCACAAGTCGCTGTGGCAGCGCTTCCACATGGCTCACGCAGGAATGAATGAATGGATGGGTGCTGCCTCTTGATTTATACTTCTGCAGGTCGTTGGTCTGGCCCATTTCCCTTGCCCGAAGTGCGCACAGTCACTTGCTTGACTGACTGGGGACTGGGACCGTTGACTCAGCAGGGTAGACTTCCCCCACTTGCCCACTGGCCTCACCACTTGACCACTTGCCTCTGCTTAAACGTGGGCAACTCACGAAAGGCCACTACTGGGACCTTCCGGAAGTCCGTAGACTTGGCCTTTCGTGACTGTAGCAGCTGCGACTCTGACCCTTCTGGACTGTAGCAGCTACAACCTTGACCTTTCGAGAACACTACAGCTACGATGTCTAGACCTGACTCAGACTCCTATTCGACATGTCTACAGCTCGAACCCATGCTACCTATGGACCCTATTACAACCTATCAGCTATTACAAATGCACAGGTCGCGGGTTCAACTCTACGGGTCGACACAGGTACTGTACACAGGTAAGGTTGGGGTCTAGGGATCGAACCCTGGGATCTGCAGCAGCTACTGCTAACTGGTGAATACCGTTTCATAAGTTAGCTTTGGACAGCATCAGATCACTAGCCCCGGTACCCTCACTAGAGAATATGTCAGGACTGTTCTGGGTAATGAATAAAGATTGGATCATAGCCACGGGCAGAAGACACCGAACAAGAGACACCAAACTAGAAGGCTATAGGCCGGCTACCCCATACTGGACGGCCCTACTTTGAATCTGGAGAAAAATAATTCCAAACAAATCCAACAGACCGAGATCTAAAGACTAAGTACTAAGGCAGCCGCTCTTCGGGAACCAATGGGTGACAAATGAAGGTAACAACCCCCTTTTCTTAGAACACAGATGACTCTCCTGGGTCAAAAGTGGCATATGGAAAATCGCTCACATATGGAATGAGGACAGGAAAGAATGGAAGACAGAAGAGGAGATTAGTTCCAACTGAAAGGATGCCATAAACGAGGACCCAATCTCCAGTATATTGTCAGTCGTATTCCATAAGAATGGAAAGATATCTTAGCGGAGGCAGCCCCATGGAAACCTGGAGAATGGGGAATCAAGATACAAGAAACAATCCCTTCGAGAGCCTTCCAATTCTCCCACATGCAACAAGACTCACAAACCAAGGCCACCTTCCTCTCCTTCCCAATCTCCACGACTGCTGCCAGCATGCCGACTATCTTGAACAGCGACGTTGAGTCGGTAGTCTTGGACTATTTCCTACTCAGGAAGATGAGAGTCCTCGGCTCATGGCCCAAATCAATCTTCAGACCGGACACAACAATCCACAACTTAGAGTTTGACCCAGCGGAATGGGCATGGATACCGGACAAGACTAAAAATATCAAATCCAAAATCCCAATTCACGATTATACAGTTAAACTAGGGTACAGACTATCACTGAAAACTAAGGACCCTGACCCTATCATTAAAATAAGATGGCACAATCTACTGGGCCAAGAGGCAGACAAAATTGCACAGATCCAGTGGAAAAAGTTCAAACTCATCAGGCCAACTAAAATCAGAAGTTTACAATGGCTAATCACCTACGCAGCATCACCAGTGAACCAATGGCTACACAAGAGGCGTAAGAATTCAGATCCTAACAGCTCAGAATTATGCATGGTCTGCAATAATGGGATGATAGAGGACATGATCCACTGCCTAATACATTGAGCATCGACACTCTGGGACTCCCTTTCCCGAACATCCCATCCAACTTCTCCTCTTGACTAATATCCCTCAACAGTTTCAGAAGGCAGAAAAATTTTGATTTGGTCTCATCAGAAAGACCACACTATGGGTCATATGGAAGGAAAGATGCAGCAGAACGATTGAAGGACTGTCCAACCCACACGAAAAAGTGTGGACAGAGACAAAAGTGATGATACAAGCCGAAATCTTCTGCAGATGGAGGAAGACCAAGCAGGCATGGACGGAGGACGAGGAACAACGAAGGAAGGAGAGATCGACCTTCAGCAAAAACTGGTTGATAAACGGCAAGATTGCATAGCTACGTGAAGACCATATTCACTGGAAAGATTGGCACAATTCAACCCCAGGAAGGATTCACCAACAAGAGATAACCGCTGGGAGACAAGACGTTCCACGATTAGACATCTAAGAGGAGTGGACAAGACGGGAGTAAGGGTGTCATGGAGCATGACAGTAGTTGAAGGTCTAGGGATTAAGGGTTTAAGGGATCCTCACGGACGGGAAAATCCTTCCGGCCGGCCTGGATCCACCTAGGAAGTTCTATCATCAGACGAGGGTTTAGGGTTCAGGGTTTTTGAGGAAGGGGGCTTTAGGAACAAACTAGAGATGGGATCAGATAAACTGAAGGCCTACAGGGGAGGAGGAGAAAGAAGAAGGGAGAAGGAGGGGAGAGAAACAAAACAGGAGAAGAGGAAGTGGCCAGGTAGGAGAGGTATAAAAGGAGGAAAGGGGTAAGATGGGACAGAGGGTATCGTGGATCACGGGCAGGACGGTTAAGTGGGAGTACAAAGGCTAGCTTGGACAAATGAGGGAACTCTTTCTATGTGGCAGTGATTTATCTGACAGATCTGGTTATCTGATCTGAGAGGAAAGAGTGAGGCACGGCAAGCTGACAGTCAATCCTCCATCAAGGTGGAGCAATCAATGCTGATCAGGGGTCCTTTGGCCAGACGGAAGGAAGCGTGGGTGGTTTATGTTTATGCGAGGCCACTGCCTCTACGAGCCCCATTCGGCCCCATTTCGAAGCAAGTCGGCCGCCCTAAGTGAAGGCAGGCTCGACGAGGCCCTCAGGACCCTATTTTGGCCACTGCGCAACTAAGGAAATTCAGGCAGTTGCGCAGTGCCAGTTGGTTGAGAGAACCCAGGCCCTGGGCCACTTGTGTGAATGTATGGGGCTGGATACGGGTACTGGGCCAAACACAGGCCAAAGGCAGTTGGATGCATGCAACCACCTCAGCCCCAAGGCCTGTTTTCGTTTGTGCTGGGCCTCAGGCTACCGGGGCCTACTGGAAGCTTCCTGGGACTGAACGCAGGCAGGCCACTTCGATATAGCAAAGGGCCTGCCTCCACATTCGTCATTAAGGTGCTGGCTGCATGCTGCGCAAGCGCTGCTGCGCTGTAGCTCGCTGGCACTCACGCGCTCACGGGCGAGCAGGAAGGAGCAGGCAGCCATAGCCAAGCTGCGCTGCTGTAAGMTGGGTGTGGCGCAGGGTGGTCCTTGGGTGCAAGTGGCATCTGTGTGTTGTGGAACGAGGTTGTGAGTGAGGCGAGAGACATACCTGGTGCTGGAAGCGTGCGACATTGGTCGATGTATGCTCGTACTTTGGGAAAGCCGTTGATGTCATCTTTCGGCATTGGAGTATAGGCTAGATAGGATCTGCCATCTGTAGTCTGGGCGCCGAGCGCCAGATAGGATATCCACACTGGTTCTTCATTGATGACGATGATGAGACTTTGCCAGCATTGTCAAGTTTGAGCTCTTGGTGTCTTCTTATTTGGTGAGACTCGTGATGCAATTCTGCTGTTGGTGTGAGGTCACGACTATCTGGTCTTTTGTATATGATGCTGTTTGATTGCTGAAGTTCGCTATTGCTCATCTTCCTTGCATTTATTGTAATGTCTATTCTGACTTGCCGGTGGAATAGGTCCAGAACCCCTAATAACCCCACGAACACCCCCATACCAACCCCAAATACCCCCA